ATCGATAACAGACTGAGAGAGAGACGGAGAGAAAGAGACTCCATCTCCCACAATCCTCCACCTCTCCACTTCCTTCCTGCCTCCGCTGTCTCAACCAATCACCACTCACCACCCCCTGAACCGGAACCAATGCAGATAGGACGAACACAATTAACTCCAGAGGAAAGACAACGCCGCATTGCCGCAAAAGTATGTATTTACTGTGGAAACAAAGGACATTTTGTCGCAACCTGTCCCGTTCGGGGAAACGGCCCGACCCGTCACTAAATCAGGGGGCCTTGACGGGTTCGAATGGTTTTTCCCCTGCATCCTTACTATCCTTACCTGCAACTATCATCCACAATCAAACTAAACTCCCTATTTCAGCCCTCATAGACTCTGGAGCAAAACAGAGCTTAATTTCAAACTCTTTGGTAGAACAACTTCAACTGTCTTCAGAACCTCTCGACTCCCCCCGCACTGTGACTGGAATTACTGTTAAGTTAAGTTATTTCACAAATCAAAGCACGAATCCTAGACCATCATATCATCATCTCTGGCAACCATCATGAAATCAGTGAGTTTTTCATTTTCGATTCCCCCTGTCCTCAGTTAGTTTTGGTTTCCCTTGGTTGGTAAAACACAATCCTGTATTTAACTGGCCAGAAAGACGCAATGAAAGCTGGAGTAAATTCTGCCTCCAAAACTGCTTGCGTAGTGCTGTTACTGGTGCAGTTAATAATAAGAACAAGGAAATAAAAGAGGATATTGACTTGTCTGGGGTCCCTGAGGTGTACCATGATCTAGCTCCCGTGTTTAGCAAACAGAGAGCCCTTTCTCTTCCCCCTCATCGACCATACGATTGTGCAGTCGAGCTTCTCCTTGGTGCTCCGCTCCCATCAAGTCGACTGTACAATCTGTCAGGGCCAGAAAAAGACTCCATGAAGGAGTATATTGAAGACTCTCTAACCTCTGGTATCATCAGCACTTCCACTTCTCCACTCGGAGCAGGATTTTTTTTTGTAGAGAAAAAAGACAAAACACTCAGACCATGCATCGACTACCATGGTTTAAACCTCATAACAGTTAAGAATAATTATCCTCTCCCTTTGATTGACTCTGTTCACGAACGACTCCATTCTGCCACCATCTTCTCAAAACTGGACCTAAGAAACGCCTACCACCTTGTTAGGATTAAGAAGGGGGATGAGTGGAAGACGGCTTTCAAAACTCCTTTAGGGCATTTTGAATATCTGGTGATGCCTTTTGGGCTCACCAATGTCCCCGCTGTCTTACAGAC